ACCTAAATGTTCCTGATCAGGTCACATGCTTATGAATCTACTTCTATTCTCCCTTTGAACTGAATGACATTTAACTCGTTGTTCAGGATGCGGACAATGTTTCAGACAAAAGTTAACCAAGGGGAAAAAAATCGACTCAGCCGTGAATGTGACAGCTTAAAGACGGGCTGCCAGCGGAGGACGTGTACGTTTCCTTCCAGCACTGGCTCGGATCCAGCTCTCAGCATTCATATTTGTGGTTTTTATTTGCAAACGATTTGTGAAGGGTGAGCGCGTCTCCTCCTCTGCGTTGAATGCCTGCGATAATTCTAGGTTTTAGAAGTGTAACCAGTCACAGGTGACTCTCTCCTCTCCACTTGGCAGTGGGTTCTAAACATCTGGTGTCCACCTTCTTGAGTCAGCATGAAGCCTGCTGCAGTTTCTCCATCCGTGCAGGCGCACTCACAGAACTTCATACAGTGGCCGAGTCAAATCTTACATCAGCTTCAGCCTGTCATCTCTGCTGTACGAAAATCATACATCACTGCAGCGTGTTTGTAACATAACGCCAGGGTCCCTGTCACGGCACTAAAGCAGGAAAAGCCTCCTGTCATGTTCAGATTTGTCTTTGTCTAACGCACGGTTGTCAGAACATTTTTTTTAAGACTATTTGGAAAATGACCTGAGAACCAAAGGCTTGTTCCGTGAAACGTATGATTCTAATTTAGTGGCACAAAAAGTCACTGCATTCTAAATGTAGCTAAATCACTTTTTTTAAACATGTTTTACAGTTATACACAGAGTTTTGGACAGACACAAATTTCTAGGAAAATAACTGAAAAAAATCCATCAAACATCTCAAGTAGGTCAATAGCCAAAACACAAGGTATAAAATATAACTCCAAAATAATACATAAATACATTTGATGAAATATTGCAGACAACTTAGGACATAAATAATCACAGAAGCGAAATCATACAAACTATAATCTTGAAGCGAGTACATAACTTAAAACTATGTCAGAAGAAAAGATAAATATTTTTTAATTAATAAACAAAATAGTAGCATGGCCAACATAAAGCAGGGCCAGAGCTTTGACAAATGTGGTCTTAACCAGAGGACTTCAGCAGGGGGTTGGTGACCCTTATGGGGTCCGCTGAGGTACTACAGGGTCTTTACACAAAGAACCAGTCTACATACTTGGAGTCCTCAATCCAACTCTCCACCAGTGAAAACAGCCTCATCGCTGATGTCAGAATGTAAATCACAAACATACAGAGTAACCTGATGTATTAACAGCTGGGATGGTGAACAACATACAATGTATTTCAGGATTTTCGTGCCGTGTTTTCTCTGTGCTCGCAGAACCACAAATAAAAGTCCAAAACAGTCTAAAACTAAAAAAATGAAAATAAGCTCATCTAATTCATTGAGTATGTCTGCAGCCACCTTCAAAGACCTGACAGCTGAAAACCATCACTTCAGGCTCAGTCCTCACTGAGGTCCACACTGTGTCTGTGTCTAAATAACTCACAGACAACGCTGATGATAAACACGCTTGTCCTCCAGCATCCAGCAAAGCAGTGTGTGTTTGTTTGACGGACAAATATTTGGACATTCAGTAATGCAAATCCTCAACCTGAATGAGTTTACAGGTTTGTTTACCTCCGTATTTAGAAGTTCTCTGTTAATTGTAAATGTATTCATCGTTCTATATGTTTCTTTAGTGTGAAAACAGTGCTTCAGGGGATGCCGTGTTTTGTTGCCTTTTCTTTTTTTTGTTTTTCCATCACAACAAAGTCGTCTTCACCGTGGTTGTAGTTTAATAGTGACCTTGCAGACTGGCGTGACATTCCCCCCTTTTCGCTGACTAATCACATGGCTGGAAATGCGATACCCACGGCAAAAAATACATGTATCCCGTCTAATGTGCTGTCAGCACGTATCAATATATCCATATCACTACACGGCTCACATTCAGGGGACGTTTCTCAGATTGGATGGATGGATTTCATCTAAAAATTGTAGAAGTTTTCGATTACACTGTTATTGAAATGCGATGACAAAAACAGCATGACTTTGGAGTTTTATTGTTGTTTTTTTGGGGGTAGTGGGGGGCATCAAATGTCAAACTTCCAAACCCATGCTAACTAACTAGCCTTCAGTTAAGTTTTGTGGTTTTACCTAAGCGTAGGGACTCTAAAGAACAAACATATTTGATAGATGATTCTCCATCAGAGAGCTGGTGGGCTTCATGTCGTGATGGAGTGGGTCGTCACAGTCATCAGAACCAAGGTAAGTCAGAGGTGCTACCGACGTGATCTCAAAGGAGGATGTAGGAAGTGGGCGAATTGATGTGCCCTGAGATCAATACTGGATCTCAACAGCGTAACCGAATAACCCTGTGGCTGCTGGTGTTACCACTTCAGGGCCTGCTTTGGGCTGCAGGTCCCCCGAGCTGACGGTGATAGGAGTGGAGATGGTGGAAGTGGCGGGGTCAGGAGTATGGGAGGAAGGGAGGAAGGGAGGTCAAGACAGAGTGGAAATGCAGCGGTAGTTTTGGTGACACCAACAGCTTTATCTCCACATTGTCAGAGATCAATATCCATATCTGTCAACACTGAGTGTAAAGGCTGAGTAGCTCAGTGGAGATATAACAAAATAGACAAAATTACAATGCCTAGAACAACAATAGTGGTTTAAGAGAGGTTTAACAGAATCTATTGTCAAAAACAAAAAACAAACAAACAAACAAACAAACAAAATCATATAAACACAGGTATGATAAAGAAAAAGAGATCTTTAACAGAGGGTGGTAGTCAGTGGAGGTACTGCAGGGAGGTCATGACATTTTTGGTTGATTAAATATTTTCATACATATATTGGGACTGTCTAACAATATCTGTATAACCATAGGGTAGCTGTGGGTTTATCTGGTTAATCACAATAAAGCAATATTCCTAATTCCTAAATATTCCTTGTTGAAGCCAATGACATTATTCTGTCTACAGTCCCAGCTTTAGATTTACTCTCCGCCCTCAGTGAGACCACCAGCACCAGTACTATTATTATATTTGCATACAGTAGCTTTGGGGCCTAAGCTTGAGTTACCATCCAACCTTCAGTTATGTTTATAGCATTGACATTTTTGCAACTATTGAGAAAAATTTGTGAGTCTAAGAAAAAAAAAGTTTTTGTGGAGACATTCCAAATATGGAGCAGCAAAAGTATTTTTATCTGGGTTGAATTTTTGTGGAGAAGCAGAATGTTGGAAGTTTAAAGAAAGAGAAGGAAGAGAAAAAAAAAGTCCAAGCTGATTCCATGTGTAATGAAATAGATATGTATTTCCATAGCTGTAAACAGCAGATGGCTCCCTCCCTGAATCCCCATGATGCAGGCTAGTCAGCCATACTGGAAGTGATTGTCTGAGCAGTGCTGTAACACTGCCCTCACTGTACACATCTGTCAGTGAACAGACATTATTTTCTCAGGATAGTACAGGCACACGTTCAGCTCAGCTCAGCCTCCCTCTAGTGGCACACGGTGGTAAATTAAACTACTGTGAGTGAGTGAGGTTTCTTTTACTTCTTTAAATTTTGTACCTCATCAAATTTGAGGCAAGCAAAAACATAAGGGAGCCCGAACCCGAATGAAATGTTGTGCCTGCAGATGATATAATTCTTATTTAATTATCTGCGCAGTGATCCGGTTCTCAGGCGAAAAAGATTTAGGGCCGTGAATCTCAATGGTGGTCTTGTGCGTTATAAGGAAAGGTGTTTCCAATATTCTGACTCATTTACATAACATGTAGAGGGGAGATAAGTAGAAACACACTCCAACTTAATGTGATCCAGCTCAACCGTTCCATCAACTACAGCCATTGGCACAGCGTCAATGACAATTAAACTTTGTACTCACATGAAGGCACAGATGACATGGAAAAATAAATCACTATGACATCCCAGAGCATCACCTCAAATCACTATGACATCCCAGAGCATCACACCGCTGCTGTAGCAGAATTTGAACTGTGTGAGCTACAAGGCCAAAACCTAACGCTGGAGATGTATTCAATTTAGCCACAAAAGCACAAGAAAAAGGTCTTAAAGTCTGAGAAACAGCAGACAAGAAATGAGAGAATCTGAAAGAAGCAGTCTCTGCTCCGTTGCCAGGTTCCTTTGGTGATGTTCTTCCTGTGTTCAAATTGGTCTATAGTTAGAGTTAGGGTCTCCATATATATATGTTGGAATGGATATGTTGAATATCTTCTCTTGGCCATATCTGCCTCTTCACCTGGCAACCATAAACACCAACATCCTTGTCCATGACCTGGGTAAGTCTCCTACTTGGTTTGTTCTCCTGGGATTTATGTTTCTTTGTGTCTTCTAGAATAGATCACATTCTTTAAATTGTCTTTAGACTTTTTTTTCTTTATTTCTTAGATTTTTAAAAAATTCTTGGACTTAAAAAGCTTTAAATAATCCCCACCGTGAATCTGGTAGATATCAAGGGCTGTGGTGAAGTGTGTTGCTATTGATGACGTGCTAACTACAGCCAGCCGTCAGACTGGCTCCACAACAGGTTTCAGGTGGGATGTAAATCTGTCTGATTTTTTCTTCTTAAAATAAAGGTAGCCTGACATCCACATCAGTTAGACATTTTAAAATAAAAATATTAATCTCTAAGATTCTAGAATCAACTTTGCATTATATGCACTACCTTTTTATTTATTTTTTGCTGAACTTATACCATTGTTTCACTCACTGATTAGTAACTCCTGTTCTTAGTGGGAGGTAGCATTATCATAGTATTAAAAAGAGTCGTTGGGAGTTTTTTGCTACGTGCTAATTTAATAGCTTGCTGTGTAAACAGTGTGATATAATGTGACTGTTTACACTATTCTCACTCTTCTCTACCTACTATTGTGACTGCTCTGTTTAAATAGGTCAATATATATATATATATATATATATATATATATATATTATCATTATCAGTCATATTTTTTGGAAACTACGCGTAGCAACCCAAATGCTAAAAGTTGACTGAAGCAGCACAACCAACCCACATCTATGTCCAAAAAGCATCTTCCAAACACAGGCGCACTTGGTGTAACCATGACCACACACACACCTCAGCCACTCAAAAAGAATTACATTAATCAGAGCGCAATGCAACAGCCAGTGGCAAATCAAATTTACAAGGCTGACTTGCAAAGAAAGCAGCTGCACAGGCCACGAAAGAGGCACACGGAGGGAAGAGAAGTGAGCCAGTCCTTTTTATGTCACGTTTGGGAAATAAAGTGGATTTTTTTTTAACACCATCCTTTTTCCCCCCAATGACCTCGCAACAGAAAGGGCTAAAACAAAACAAAAATGCAGTTATTTTTCAACAGAAGCAGTTTTTGACCAGAGTGAACCACGTTTTCTACTACAAACTGAGATGAACAAAGATGTGAATGTAATGATGTAATAATGACATTCTCAAAACAAATGTGCCTGCAATGAGGGCCTTGTGTGTTTTAATGTGGTGCAATATTGGTATTGTTTCTTCTTTTTTGGGGAGGGGTGTGCTTAAGATATAGTATTATAATTTTTTTAACCCATGTGGTTTGAGATGATTGAAGAACCACAGACAACAAAAAACAACAACAAAACAAAACAAAAAAAACTTCCACTTCCTCATGCTGTACCTGTACCTGTAAAGATAATCCACTAAAATAATCTGCTGCTGTGTCCCAGCTGGCTCAGATTCTTCAAAGTTCTGATCTGACCTCTGTCATCAACGACATCACATTCAAACCACTTGTATACGGGCTCCAACGGAATCCTTCACACTCTGTCTCTTCTTCAGCCCTAAGGCACTATAGGAAACTACTGTGATTGGCCAGTATTTGGGGATACCAGAGAGCAGCTGAACAGGTGTACAGCACCTTATAAAATGGACAGTCAGTACTGTATGTTGTATTGCTAAATTTAGAAAATCCTAAACACACACACACACACACCGCTTGTCAAGTTGTCTGGATCAGGAGTGAACCAGTGATGTACGGTCTGTGGGTATAAATATAATAATAAACTGTAACAAAGCTCTTCTCTTAGTGGGCTCTTAAAGTCCCACAGTAAAGTGCTAAGTGGAAATAAGAGATGGGGAGAGAGACACAGAGAGAGAGAGAGAGAGAGAGGCAGGGAGGGGGAGAGAGAGGGAGGGAGACAGGTTGTATAGTCTAACTGCAGGAGTATCAGGAGCCATAAAGTGGAGAGAGTGGACTTGCCCCCTCTCCTCTCTCCCTTCTCCTCTTTCTCTCTCTCCCCCCTACGCAGTGCACTTGCAGCTGAGCAGCACTCCTGACAGGACGATCTGCTCTTCATCTTCCTCCTCCTCCTCCACCTCCCCCTTCTATCTCCCCTTGCCTCCCCGTGTACAGCAGTAGGCAGTGGTGTGCTGCTTGTGAATGGGGGAGCCCTGCGCCCTGAACAGTCGCATCTGACTCCAGTCCAGAATCCAGGAGTCCCGGAGTGACGCGTGATGGCGCGGACTCATTGATAAAAATCTGCAGCTGGGATTAACATGAACACTCCTGCTGAGCCGCTCTCCTCCTCCTCCTCCTCCTTCTACTTGTACTCCTCCTCGTCCTTCTCCTGCTTCTCCACATAGCACTGCCTTCACTGCACGAGATCTGTTTTATGTGATTGAAGCCGGCGACGCAGGATGACTACTACCTTATCACTGGTGACTGTGTGCGCTCTGGTGAGTAAAGGCATGACAGAGTTTGTTGTACCGCACATCTAACCTGCTGAATATGGGAATAAGAGGGGTGATTTAATAACAGAGTTAACATGTTCTCAGCACTTCTCCAAATTGGCTTTAGTTGGGAGTAAGGCTATATATTTCTTTAAAAAAAAAATCTAAAAAAAAAAATATATTTTTTCCAACCTCTGTGAATGAGGCTGTGATGCTGTGTTTGTAGCCGTGGTGTTCTCCCATTATTTCTCTGTGTCCCCTCTGCCAAAACCGCACAGGTGTTCCTTGTTTTCATAAACACTAACTGATTTGTTTATTATACCTTCAGTTCATACGTTCTCTACTCCTGCTGCATGTACACGTACACGTAGGCACGCGCGCACACGCCTCCTTCTTGGTTTTCATCCAGGAATGAAAAGTTAGGCAGAACTGCTATAGAATTACTTTAAATCAGATATTTGTGGTGCAGACCAGAGCTGCACAGAGACGGGCTGTCGGGGGGCCCGGTGGTTCAATCGCATCAGTGAGTGAAGGGGATCTATGGCTACTTTTAGGTTCGATTTTTAGGGATGTTTCTGCAGGAGGTAGAGAGGCTGCAGTCTGTGTAGAGAGGTACATGGAATCATCAGCGCATCTGCAGCATGTGCTGTGATTTAGAAAAAAAAAAAAAAAAGAACACCAGGCTCATCATCTTCTTAGTTATGACAAACAGGCGATTGTGGACAATGGAGTGCTGATGAAGCGCAGAGCTGCGCGTCCTGGTGCGTTCACGGTCCGCGGCAGCTGCTGTAATTGGGCACAGTTATCATATGCATGTGAGGGGACGCTGTTGTGACAGCTGCTCGGCGGACGGCCGCACTTTGGTGCAATTAAATTTAGAAATAAACTCTCAAATTGACCATGAAATTGAAAAGAGTACAATGTCACCGGTGGGGTCGTCGTGCAGTGTTCAAGCCTGTTCCCAGGTCCCCAAGCTGAGCACATTTCTCACGTTATTGATTTAAAGGAGTTGGCACCAAAGGGAGAGAGGGGGAGCCAGGTGGTGAGGGAGGGGGGGATCCTATCCAGAGGTGTTTTGAGGGTTCTTCAAATCGTGCTTGACTAAACCTGGGATTTGAGTTTAGATGTGAAGAAAACTGAAGTCACCGCAAATGAAGACAGATGCAGCTACGGGATACACGACAGGGGGAGGGGGGGTGGGGGGGAGAGAGGAGAGGAGCTGGTGGGTGCTCAATACATCTGCTTCTGAATGAAAACAGTGAGAGGAGGGAGAACGAGGGAGAAATTCGAATTGATGTCTCAGCAAATGTAAAATTAAGTCGAAATGAGCGCTCGCTCGTTACATAAGAAAAGCCAGTGCGGGACATGAGAGTGATTCAGTGCAATGATATTCTTTTGTTCCCAAAAGTCTGGGTTTGAATCCCTTTCATTTGAACTCACACATGAGTGAGACGAGGCCTCAGTTATTGGGCCAACAAAGCTGAGTGACATTTGTAGCCAAGTCCTACGGTGACAAGAAAGTACATCTGTAAGTACATCAGTGAGAACATCTGCTTCTGGAGGGGAAGCAGGCAGAGAAGAACATGGAGGGAGTGTGGTAATGATGAGACGCAGTGGGAAAACTCAAGTTAAAAAACCCAAATATGTATCTTATTATAATTCACTGGGGAGAGGAGTGAGTGTAGTGTATTTACCACGTGGTGAGTTATTTATGACGACATCAACATATACAAATTAGGACAATATGCAGAGAGCATTTGTTTCAGTTGTGATTCCACGTGTTAATCCTCTTATTTCTCCGTATTTGTGAGGTTTATGGCTCATTAAATGTCAGCAGTTCTTGGACAAAGCCTCAGAAAAACACAGAGTGAATAGGGTTATTCACAATGATATAAATGTGCAAATAATTAAAAAATATAAAAGAGAATCTTCATTGCCATACTGAAATCCACTAGCAGTACCTGTATTAACCACCAGTGGGCCTCAGCGCACATCTTAGTAAGTGGTGACTCAGTTGAAGTTTTAAGATAATAAAGAAATCGCAGCTTTAGAACATGAAAAAGTATAAGACTTGGATTAGCTCAAAATTTGTGGTAGGAAAAGTTAAAGAATATTCTATTTTTATTTTATATTTATTGACACCTTGACCCAGGTACAAGTTCAAGGGATTGCAATACTACAAGGTCCTCACCAGTGTAGAGCCAGATACACGTGTGTGTGTATCTGGTGTGTCTGTAAACTCCAGTGATGATCGGAAGCAGAGGTCGACAATCACAGCTTCCCTCACCTTTGAAGAGTAATTGGGGAGGGGGGAGGGGGGCATGTGTATAATGTTGTGCACACATGATCTTATGTTTCCTGCCTCGTCTGCAGTCTGTTCTGAGTTTTCTATTGGGGCTGATGTGTCTTCAGCGGAGCTGCTAGGGCAATTTATTTGACTGGCTTGTTCAAAGTGACTCTAATAGGCTATAGGTGGAGACACGCTGATTTATGATGATTCCTGGTGGTGGGGGGCGGGGGGCTGCAGTAGAGGACCATGCTCGACACATGGCAGTGATTTTCATCAATTAGTTTTGCAGTTTCTGTTAAAGTCACCACGTACCCCGATGCTGCGTCTAAACGTTCGTGTCTGCTCTCTGCTAGTGTGTGTGTGTGTAGTACATGTGCAGCTCTAACCTACTGTACCATCCTCCGTTCATCCTAGGTGGCGGTAGTGCTGGCGTCGAAGACAGAGAGGGCGGTGCAACTGCCCTGCGACTCGGGCCAGTACACTAACAACGGTGAATGCTGCAAAGAGTGTCCACCTGGAGAAGGCGTGGTGAAGAAATGTGGAGCCACCCAGACCGTCTGCGCCCAGTGTTTGGACAGTGAGTGGACGTCGTTTTCACAGTTTGAAATAATGCGTAATAATAACGTTCTAATGTTGTTAAAAATGTTGTTAAAAATACTGTCGCCATCAGGTTTGAGAAAATTATTTTAATTTTTTCAAAGCTTACGCAAAATGCAACGTTCTGGAGAGGGACCACATGCTCAATGGCGCCCCCTGCGGCAGCCTGTGTGGGTTGCAAAGACTCACACTTCCTCTTTTGTGGGACTAATAAAGGATAAATAGTTTTTATTTTTTATTCACACAAAAACCTATGATGCAACTTTTAATATTTGTATCAGTTTGAATGAAAGTTTATTTGTTTAATGTGTAAGAGAGTGAAATGTTATATTAGTCAAATTGCTGTCCCAGAAGGTCCATGTTCAAGGCGCACTACTTCAAATGCCCAGCAGGGGGCTAGTCTTCTGAAAACATAAAATATAGACACACAGAAATTCAGCAACAACTGGACATGAACTTTTCCAGAAGCCATTATTTCAAAAATCACAAACTCATTATATACTGCGCTGTATGGACATCAATATTTTTTTCTAATGTTTGCATTTGCTGCCGTTTGCTAAATGGACTCAGTGAAGGCCTCTCTCTAAAGGTCCATGGCAAATCATTTAAATATTTAATGAGATATTTGAGCTAAAATAAGCTAAATTTAGGAAAGTGCTTAGCTGTCAATCAACGGATCAATAGAATGTCCTACAGAGAATTGTGAGTTATGGGTTTGGGACGGACAGCTGGTTAAAAAAAAAAAGATCTGCAACGTTAGTTGTTTTTTAATCTTCAAACTTTGTTTTGAAAATGGAGGTGAGGTCAAGAAGAAAGAAAAGAACGATGAGGGAAATAATGACTTGAAAAAGTCACATTAGAAGGTGAGACCTGTTGTTTTTGATGTGACTTTGTGCTTCTACATCCTTTGACGCCTTCAAAGAATAGTTACAAATACACAGACCTCCAACTTAACAACTTTCAACTCTGACCAAACGTTGGTCCAGAACTGTGTGAGAACTGTTGCTGCAACGTATCAAACAAATCACTTCTCACACATGAACTCCTCAATCATAACTATTTTAGAGGTGGAATTTGTCTGACTTAAAAGACTCATTAAATAATCTGGAAATAATCACAGTACACAGGATACAAAAATATAGCATTGGCTGTACACATGTAGTAGTACATGTAAATGTGTTGCACAGCTGCCTGGCTGGTGCCGTTACTGCTCACACATGACCAATTAGCACCGACTCTTTTCTTTCAACGTTCTTCCCTTTACTTCAATGGATTTCCATTTCCATTGCCTTTAGAGCCTGTATGGGTCATGTTCTCCAAAAACAAACATTATCACAGTCAAACCCAACTTCTATCATCCAGTTCCGTCATTAGCATGTCTGCATATCACTCACGGATGGAGCAGAGAGAGAGAGTTGAGGCAGGAATCCACATATTTGATGCTTGTAAGTGGGTCCAACTGTGTTGCCGTACATCTGTGTTCATTCTGAGAACCATTATGTAGAACGGCGGGCTCTACATAGCAGAGCTAGGACGGACGCCAACACTGCAGTGTCACAGAGGAGAGAAAGCCAGGATCGCTACTTGTCTCAGTCGTACCTTTTTAGCCTGCTGCCTTCACTGCTTTTGTTGGTGACTTTGTCACAACCCAGAGAAAACGTCAGAGTATAAGGTCACAGGTGTCAGCGTGGAGTTGGAAGGGAGGGGTGAGGGGTGGGGGGGTTGATGAACAGCAACAAGACGAATGAATCTCACCTGCTGCTCTGAGTCTGACCAGTGCTGCATTTTCCTACCCTTCAAATGCACATGTTGGTCTGGACAGTCTGCGGCTCTGTGGTGACTGATAGAGCAGAAATCCAGAACCAACCCTTTTTACTGCCATATCGTCAGACTGAACTCTGATCGGTCGCATAAATCCATCCTGACAACATCTGTATATTTTGGAAAATGGTCGCTGCAAAAGTCTAAAAAAGTCTTTGAACACACACACACAAAACATCACTTGTGTGCAGCAGACGTATCAACTGGATGAGAATGCGAGGCACATTTGTCTGAAGGATGTTGATGAGGTCTTCCATATCTTTAAACTTACAGATTTCTTTGCATGGGATGTTTGTCTGTGTCTCATGAGTTTGTTATTAAGTTAATTGTTATTCACAACTTGGACGATTTCACTCTTTGCCTTGAATAAGTCACAGCCCACAGCGACTGGCAGACAAACAGGGTAATAATTGCACACATCAAGAGCGTGACAGTAGCGTTGGCAACGTTGGTAGCATTGCCCGAAGCAAAGCAAGTTGATTTGAACTCTATCATTAGGTCAACAATGAGAAAAAATTAAATAATATATATATAAATATATTTGTTTACATATACATATACTTTCTCATATATATATAGATATACATACATACATACATACTATATATAGAGCTGTGTTATCTCCAAAAACTCCAAGTCACGTATGTGAAGCCCTGATGAACACCATGTCAATGTCAATGTCAGACAAACAGACAAAGACCCTCCACAATTTCTTGGAAAGGTGAATGAGTGTGCTAATTAGCATCATCATCATGTCCGTCTCCTGAGGGACTAATGAAGTTCTATCTGTCTATCATGCAAAAATGCAAATGACAGACTTGGTCAGGAAATTGAGTTTGTCTTTGCCTGGAGTCTGCACTGCAGTTGTCCAAATATCTGCACTTTATCTCTCCTCCGAGGTTGTGAGGAATTCATGTTGTGTTTCACAATTCCTTTTCTTTCCCTGTTGTAAATGTTGGCATTGTGAAGATGTTAAACCGCAGCCTCGTTTCCCTATAATGTGACTTGGCCCTTAATCACAGACTGTGATTAACAAAAAAGCGTTTCCTTCTCCACTCACGTACAGTATCGCCTAATGCCGACCGACCAGCAAATCCTCCCAGCGCCTGCCGTGTCTCCTATTTTCTCCATCATGTACTGGCTTCTCTCAGCCAGCCCCCCTCCTCACGCCTTCCCCCCGACAGCTATTGCTATGACTCATCGTCTGTATTAGTGGATAAAACGGTATTAGAGCTCCAGGCACCAAAGGGCAGGATCTGCTCATTTATCATGCATACTGTTACTTCAAAGCATCCGTAGTCATTTGATCTACCTAATTAAAGTGAATTAAAAAATATTGAAAAGACTATTGTTTCACCGAACAATTAGGAACAATTACCACAGGCTGAAAACGTAGGACAGAACAGCTGAGTGTCTTTGTGTGGAACAGTAACACTGTTTACTCTATTTGCACCTAAACTCTTGCACGATTCTGAGGAACTACAAGGTGATAGTTAGCATGGCAAAAAATTGTGTCCTGTACGCCACGGCAATCTGGACAATTAATAGTAGGTTATCTTTTTTCATTCATGTATTTTTTTTTCCCCAAGGGCATCTAGACTCAAACGTGATTTTTAAGTAGCTCTCATCGTGAGTGTAGTCTCATCCCTGATGAGAAAGGTTTCTATTTTTCGTGTTCTAAGAAGTTGACCGGTGAAGTCAAATTTTATGAAACTAAAACAAACACGTTATAACCTTTCAATAGTGCTGTCCCTTTAAGATCAAATAAATGGCAAACTGACACTGTTCCTCTCTAATCTCTGTCCAGAGGCGGTCAATAAAACAGTGTTTCCCTTGACCGCACACGCTAACATGGACACAACAGAATGAGGAAACACAAATTTAACAGAGGAAGGTAGGGGAAATGAAAGACATAAAAGTTACATGAAACTAAAGCCTTGGAACCCAACAGCTCTCTGTGCTCTCAGTTCTTCATCACTCCTTAATAAAGGTACCTCCTGTTAAACTATTAAAACCAGAACATTGTGTCTGCCTTCGTCAGCACTGAGCCTTCATCCACCTGCTTTTGTAATTTGGATGTCTTGCGCCTCAATCATCTGGTTTCATCCTATTGTGTATTTGTGCTGGGACTATTGTGCAGGATGCAGTCTGAGCACGTTAACAATCAGACACCTGAGGAACAGTGGCTCCTCTGGCTTTGTGGTTTGATCACTCTATCTGTCGGTTCTATCCATCCATCCATCCACCCACCCATCCATCCATCCATCCATCCATCCCTCTATCTATCTATAGATCAATCTCGATTTTTCTCTCTCTCTGCAAATATATATTTACATACCTACATATATACATATATTTCTCGGTCTCTATGTATATGTAGATGTATATGTATATATGTATTTGTATACATATACTGATATATGTATATATTTAGCTCTTTCTCCATATACTCTATCACTCACTTGTCTATAATACATATACATATATATTTATATATATACTGTATCTCCATCTCTCTTTTTCTCTCTAGAGCAAACAATGAAACATCTCTGTTCTTCAGTGCACAGTTTTCCATTATTCTATCTCCGTTTTGTACTTTTTGAAAAACAAGAACAATATTCAGTACAAACCCAGGTGAAATGCCCTGGAGTTCTTTTCAGTGCAGGTTCATTTTCATTGTTTTTCTTCATGCTGTTTTTTTTTTTTATTCCAGCAGATTAAACTTTAATTTACCTGAGGCTCCTATAAGTGAACACGCACCCACACTGGGCTGCGCTGGATTTATGGGAACGTCACACGCTGGAACACCTTAAAAACTACATCTATGAATGCATTGTGTAAAGTGCAAAAAATTAATAATTGAACAACACAGCACGTCCATTTCCTGTTTCATGGTAAATATGGGTGAATCTTTATTTACCACCATACCACTAAATCCCCCACTTCCTGCTACCGCAGCCCCCTTTTTCCCCTCGATCTCGGCTTGGGACGAGTGCCAGCGTAAGCACTGCTGAATTATTTATCAGTCTCCTCCACTTTTCTGTGCTGTCATGGGAGACAAGAAAACCAGACCAGCCATCACTTAGTGAACCATTCAGAAAAAAACTGCACTGCAAACTGTTTGAAGACCTGACAGAAGAAAAGCAGAGCCTCACAAGTCAATGTGGCATCAAAGATTAGCCCCGCTGGACGACAGGAGCAGGGCTCACTGGGGAATTAGAGGAGGATGAAAAGTGGAATCACAGCTTCATTTGGTGAGGCCTGAGGAGAGCAGCGAGAAGCACCTCTAACTTTGTACCAGGAAAGAGGAAGACAAGGTGGAAAGGAGATTTGTTTTTCCATAGACTACCATAGAGCATATATAACAGATGTACACAGTCTGAAGAGTAGCTCGGCATCCTGCACTATGGTTGGAAGTCCGTGGGTAAAATGAGGACCATTTTTAATTTTAATTAAAAAGTTGAATCAACAATGAAGAAGAGTCTGGGAGTTAATCATTTCTTTAAAAAAATCCTTGCAAAAGTGCAAAAAGACTCTTATTTATTTATGCTAAATGTATTTTGTCTGACCACAGCAACACCTTCATTAAAGACGAGGTAGATATTGTTGGTATATGAAAAAGGAATCTAGACCTTAACACAGTGGGTTCACAAAGTAAGGGTTGGACCACCCCTGGGGATCATAGAAAACGTTCACAGGGGGCGCTGTTTCAGGTTCAAGTTCAAGTTCTTAAGCAGTTGTTGTGAGTACAACAACGTTGGTAGGATGGCGGCTCCTGTGAGCTGATGAGATAAACTATGACAGTCATTATTCTGTTAGAGTGTTCTGTTAGATGACGACACATACGACAGGTCACTCCTCCAGATGAAACAGACAGGGATATACTACGGCGATGAGTCATAACACCCAGACCTTCTGGCTGGACTTACCATCTAGAATGAAGACCCCTTTAGTCCTCATTATGGTTAGTATAAAATGTTACTGTGGGTCAGAGTCATTTATTAGTAGACCACGTGTGTCACAGAAATGCCCTCACTGTCAGGCGACAGAAAACTGAAGCAGAGCAGGCTGGGATACAGGAGGCAGGAGAAAAGGTTGATGGTTAAATTACCACGACTCTCTCACGACCTAATAATCTCTTCGGTAATATCCCCAACACCTGTTTCAAATCTGGGGGTGAATTAAATGAGCCAACGAAGCGTGAGGATAATTTTACACAGATACAAAAAAAAAGACAAAGGTTTTACCCAACGATTTGTCTGCACACAGGGGGTCAGTTGTGAGGGTCTTTGCTTTAATGTGGCTCCTGACACGCACTGGAGGGAGAGAAGGTGAGGCTGGCTAAAAGCTTACACCCAAACTGCTGATTGTGGAGATGGACAGGCAGTTTCAGGGCCATCCACTTACATTATTGATGATGCTAATGGGCTTGAAACACATCAGTGTTTGAAGGACCGGCCTTCATGGGCTGAAGTGACATTCTTTTTTAATGCACCAGTAGGCTATACGCCTCCACCGACCATTCCCATTGGCCGGCATGGGAACTCTAACGGCTGAGCTGCACTCATGGCTGCTCTTTTGGGGGCAATAAAAAAATAAGATCATATTTTATTAAAGAAAACACTCCACCTTAAATCTTGATGGCCTTTTACTTTCTCCGTGTGGCCCCCAGATGATACACATAAATTAGACACACACACACTTTCATGCCGTGCCCGTTCGACACTGAATGCATATGGTCGCATTTAGATGTGTTTACACACAAAGAGTGCAGAGAGGCTCAAGCATGCGAGTTAAAATTAGCGAGGAAGCCTGTGCGCTGGGGGATAATTGAAACGAATGAGGAGGAGAGCTCCGCTGGTCGGGCTTGGCCGCAAAGAAAACACTGGCCTCAAGATTCCAAATTCAAATAGCCATTTACCCCAGAGGTCTGTTGTTTGTCTGACTCCGGGTTGTTGAGCCAGTGTCACTCTGCTCCTTCTCCAGACACCTCAGGACAGCTTCCCTTTAATAACAGTCAGAGATGAAGGGCAGAACTGGAGCCACGTACCTGAGGAGGAAGCTGACCCTTACTTTTGTCCCCTGCTGCTGTTTTTTTCCCCTGACCCTTCCACTCTGAGTCGTACATCAGCACTTTCTCAGCACTTTGATTACAACATCATGTTTTCTCCACTTGGGTTTAAACGGTGAGCACCAGGCCACCCAGCCAGGCTGTTGATTGCGCTGTGTCAAACAGGCTCAACGTTCATTTGGACAAAATTCAAGCGGTCACTCCTGGAGAGCCGGCGACTCGGGGTCTCTGTACCATAACTCACTGTGTCTGTACTCACTGACACTGTTCATCACCAGCTTCTTAGCTGTACTGCAACTCACAAGGTGTTTGGTGTTCTCTGGTCTGTGTCAGTGTTTACTTTCTGGTGCGGTTGTACAATGAAAAAGCCAGTGCTGGGACACTGCCGCAGGGCTTTTCACACTGACAATATGCTGTTGCTCAACATGAAACTCTGGGGAAATGATCACAGAAAAAAAAAACAAAACAGAGAGGCATATGCAGATTGAGAATCGTGCAAATGTGGCAGACATTTACTGCTCCACCCAGCTCCAGTGATTTATTTGACTGTAAGACAGTGCACATTTATTCACACAGCAGATTTTGAACCAGTGTTAACTTGCTGCATGCTTCATTTGCTAATTGAAGAGGCAAACAGGTTCTGGAGGTAATTAAAAAAAAGAAACGTTAACAAAGATGTTTTGACGTGCATTCTTGTCCCTTAATCATATGTTTGTAAATGTCCTCGGCTGGTTGATTACATAACCACCCCAGCTGCCACGCTGAAGTTCTCTGTTCAATCCAACACATTGTGGAGCCGCCGTCAGCCAGTATTGTTTTGAGGAATGCCACATGACAACAATGACTGGACTCAATCTTTCTGGGGAAAGTGTGCCATTTGTGTCTCAAGTGCATTTTTTTTTTGCAAGGTGACTGTTTCATATTAGGGAGAACAGTCTAGCGTAGCAGTAATTCTGCACTGCAGCCGCTCCGTCATCTAAAACACAACAACAACTACACTCATGCTAGGCCGGCAGTATGAATAAGTTATTAGGCATCACATCATATCTGAAAATAATTCTACACGAACATGCATTATTAATAGATGACTTTGTGCTCCTAAGATCTCTGCGTATAAGAGGAGGCTAGTTCGAGGTCACCACATCTTTAACAACTCACTCTCCAGAGTAACCCAGATGTGGATGCTCCTGAAGAGCACATCTCAAGTGTTTGCAATAATTAAAAAGCAGCAGGCAATTAGCAAGGCATGGATTTCCCCTCGCTGCTGTCAACTGAGCTGCGTTCCCCGCGGCTTTGCTGCGATCAGCTATTGGTTTGGCGGTCAGATCTGGAATCATTTTCTTTCAAATGTTGAGAAGAAATTTCAATCTAATTCCAGAGGTCAGAGGTCGGTCAGTCCTGTCTCAGAAAATAAAATATTTATCAGTGTCAGAGTAGAATGTCACATGGACATTGCTCTTTCACAATGACAATATTTCTTTTGAAAACATTATTTGATTTGGTTTCTTGTCATTTTTAAAACTGATATTAAAATGAAGTCTGTAATAATGGGTCTGATAACTGTTGAATAGGTATGATTACTGGCTCATTAATTACAATACCTTATTTAATTAACTATGTGTGTGAGTGTGTGTGACATGAACAAAGTATTGGTTAACCTTTAACCCTGTGCTGGATAACTTTTCAAGGCCGACCTTTATTACTATGGTGATGCACTCCTCCACTCTGTGCGTGAGTGAAATCCAAGCAGTTTACTCAGCAGAGCATAAACACAGTCAGATCAATACCATAATGAGCGCAGCAGGCTTCTGACTGAGACCTCGACCAGAGCACCTTTCTCGTCCTCCGGCACAGATCACTACGAACCCAGCAGATCAATGTGTTCTCCCTTTTAATAACGCTACAGTAAACATGATTAATGTCACTCTTTACGCCCCCTTTTCCTCTTCTCTTCACGTTTCCTCATCTTCTCGTTTTTCTCCTCCTCCACCTGCAGGTGAGACCTTCTCTGAGAACTACAGTCACACAGAGAAGTGTAAGCCGTGCAAGGAGTGTACCGGCCTGATGCGGCTGAAGACGCCCTGCACGGACTCCAACGATGCCGTGTGCGTCTGCAACTACAACTACTTCTTCAATTACAACACAGGCCGCTGCGAGCACTGCACAGTCTGTCCAGTAGGAGAGGGCGTGTTCAGCCACTGTGACCATGAACACGACACGGTGTGCGAAGAGTGCGTGGACAATACCTTCTCTGACCGAGAGAGCTCCCTCGAACCCTGTCTGCCTTGTACCATCTGTGATGAGGACACGGAGACGGAGCTGGCTGAGTGCACGCCCACACGTGACTCTGTCTGTCACAGTAAGTCCACGGCAAAACAATACATAATCCATTGTTGTACAACGTTAGTACCAGTAACAAACTGCATAGCTGGCATACACAGTCAAAATATTATATGAATTATTCATGCACGATTAGGTGTCCAGCAAGAATTGGTTGAAGATAAGAGTGAGGTTGACTCAAGGACATAAGATTGAAATTTAAATACTGGACAAATAATAATAATTTTTGTCAAAAATGAATAACTAGTGGATAAATCCTTAAATGAAAATGTCAATGCATTTGTCTGCAACCCTATAATAATAATAATAACAATAATAATAATAATAATAATAATAATAATAATAATAATAATAATTATTATTATTATAATAATAATAAATAATGAATAAAAAATAAAACCACCTCCTCAACTCTGTTTATATTCACTAACGACAAATGTAAACTTTTCGGTTCTATGGCAACAATAAAACCAAAAACAACATACCCAAATATATGTCAGTATTAGGAGAGCAGTATTAGAGGCACCAACGGTGTATTAGTAATATTTGAACCAGACAGACGGGGTGACTCTCACATTTGTGTGTGGGATGGGCAAGGTCAGAGGTCAGCATGTTGAAAGCTTGGGCATTAAAAGGTCAAAGACTACTGCAGTGTCAACACAGAGACACTGAATAATCAGCTCTCCCACAGGCAGAGGACACACTGGCAGAGGAGCAGAGTGGAGCTATTATCCTTTCCCGAGGAAGTTGTAAATAATCTGTTGGATGAGGCATGAAATCAAGCACATCGGGGGGGGACTGCAGCTTAAAAATGGGTGGGACAATGTTTTACATGGTGTTTCGCTCCAATCATTTGACTAAAAAAATGCATCTATGAAGCTGCTCTTCAAAAGCAGAAATGACAAAGTGAGGGTTGAGAGGTTTTTAAACTTAGGATAAAACTCCTCTCTCCAATGATGGACCTGATGGAGGAAGTACTGCAGTTTTCTGGTTTATATTTAGGAGATGCTCTTCTCCCATCATCCCGAGCTCCTGTGCAGACTATGTCCAGAGCCACTTTACTTGTGATGTGATTAAATGTGTTACAGAAAGCTCTTAATAGCTGGAGCTTTTACTAATGCAGGGTTGAGTATTGATCTCCTCAGTGCATTAACATTTTAAATGAATATTTTAATGATAGCTTTTAATACAAACACCAAGGTTAAGGTTTTTTTTTTTGATTCAGGCATCGTGTATTAAAGGACTACGTCACCTGTGTTGTTTCAAAGATCCTTTTAGAAAATGCCATAATAAACCTTAATAGATCACTTAACTGTGTAGCAAATGTAATGTGTGTTTGCCAGGCTGTTGCCATTCCCTCATTTGATAAACCACCTTAGATTTGACAGGGAGCAGGAACTGGTCCAAGGAAAGATAAGAGCAGCGAATGTAGATAAGGTGGAGAAGAGCTAATAACGATGACTTACCACCTGTCCTTCCAAGAGCAGCAAACACCATTAGTGGTGTTAGATGTGTATTTCTTTTTTTTATTATCAATAAATCATGACCTTTCTAAAAATTGAGCGCAAGCGGGGCCACTTAAAATGTGGTCTCCTCTGAGCTACACACTGCTTTTTATGCTGTGAGTCATCAGGTCAAATTTAGCAGGAAATCTGCCAGATTGATTAACAACGTGGAAGAAAGACTTTTCTGCTTGTATTCAGAAGGTTGGCTTAGAGCAGCTTCATTACATCGGTGGCTGAAATGCCACTGAAACTGTGAACATATTCGAGAAGAGAAACGTTCCTGGGGGAATGACGTTGTTGACTGACATCAAGGTGCTTTGAAAAACTGTACAGATTTGAGTCATCCGGTTTTGAAGAATTGGTCTTTGATGCTGAGCTACACAATCAAAAAGTGGGTTGGGTTAGTGCGTTACAGCAAGTTTGGTGTAGGGAGGTGACGTATTCTCCCTGTGGTAGCGTCGGTTTTTCATGTACTCTGGTTTCGTCCAATGGTCTAAAAAGATTCAGAATTTAATTATTCACTCTTAATTGACTCTTTATTAATATTCGTGTGAATAGTTGTCCTGATGTGTGTCCACGTGATGGACTGGAGAACTGCTCTTTCTGATGTGTGCAGGCAAAATTTGTGCATTTTCTATCTTCCCTAGTCTGCTAACATGTTAGCCTTGCTAGGCCAAAAATGCCATGCCCAACGCTAACAGCTAATATCATAATACAGGTGGTATTGCATTAATGCTGCGGCGAAAAAGTCAAGCTTTACAGTAACCAATATAGCAGAACACGAGTCAGAATCCCAAGCCTAGGGCTGATCCAATTACACTACAATCAGTTCCATCATACATTCCTTGTAGGCTAGTGGCTCCATGCTAACATAATGAGCAAGGTGCTGATTATGATTGTAAGTAGATCTAAAACAGCTGCCTCACAGAGTGATCGGTGTGGTTGTGTATTTACATGGTGACGACAGAGGAACGATCCAACGTCACAGCATTCGTTTTCCTTCTATTCTAACACAAACACACCTTTAGCGAACGCCTGTATACCAACTATAATAATGGTATTTTTTAATCCTAATGTGGAAAAAACCATTGCCTTGTTAATGTCTTCCACACAGTATTCAAACTCCAAACTCCGCTCCAAGTTGTTAGATATGTTGCAGATGGGCGGATCATTCGAGCATGCATACTCAATTTGACATGGTCGGAGTGGCCAGAATTCCTTCTTCTCTTCTTCTCGCCAACCCTGTCCTTTTATTTTTCCCATCAGGCTCCAGATTTATCTTATATCAAAACAGGGCGAGCTCTGTATGGCCGTTCAGATAACGCTGAGCCTCGGTTGTTGTAAATAAGCAAAGGAGGCGACGGCGGTGGAAGTGTCTTCGGTGACAGCCGTAAATAAAAACACACTATATCTGCCTAAATGCCGATCATGTAATATCTCCACATCTGATTTACAGTAGGCCACATGCCCACGTAGCGCCCACCCACGCCGAGGTCCCACCTTTGACCTTTCTTCTCATCTGAGGGATGGCATTGTTACCAAAAACAGCGATGAGAGATGGCACGATCAGTGACCTTGCAGGGCGTCTGTCTGAAAGAGGAGCCCTTTCACATTGCACAACTGTCTGTGGGCAGTAGCTGCAGTCACATGTGGTGGTGATGATATTTCCAGACCTTTCCAGGATACTGTACAGATATGTTTTCCGCAGCAAATAGGAAGCCACCCCGCTGACATCCACATCCTGTCTAAGGATTTTTAATTTAGAACCCGCTCTCCATCTCTATATAGTCTAAATGTGGAAAGGAGATCCGGCCGGAGCGATTTCAGATCTCTTAAACCTCAGTTCATATCAAGCTGTCACCGAGTGTCAATAACGCGATACAGTGACAGTGGGAGAGAGACAGAGATAAGAGGAGACAGAGAGTGCTGCAGCCTCGCTGCTGTGCTGCTATTCTGTGTCGATACGAGTCCTGGGATTTTTTCTGCATCTGCTCAGGTTTCGCTGTGTGACCTCTGTGAGCAGCACACACAAAGTGACACACACACACGCCACAGCTCTTACTTCATTCCCCTGCCAAGAGCATTTCAACGTTGCCTTTTTTAATACACATGTGTAAACCTCTTTGATCCATAATTGGAAAAAAAACCCAAAAATCTCTCAGCATCTTTGATATTAAGCCACGTACACTGAACTAAAGGAATTTTACGGTCTGTTGTGTGTAACAGACCATACTGTGTAGCCATTTTTCTTCTTCTTGTAGGAGAAGCAACAAACACAATTTGAATGATTTCAACCATTTTAAACCAGCAAAGCCTGATGCTGATGTAAGAAGTGCAGTTTATTTTGGTCTGAAGTTCAGACAACCAATAAAATCCTGGGACAAACTCTGATATACAATACATCTGAATGCAAGAGTTACAAAGTTTAATAGGTTACGATACTTTCTGACTTTGTACTATATGCCACTAACAATATGCCAGGGTAAAAGAAAACTACAGGCAGAGGGCAGCATCACGACTAATAACCACCACCGTACACAGCTGATGGCAGATTTTAATAACAGGGGGAAGAAAGAGAAGAGGGGAGAGGGTCCTTTTTTTAAATCCATGGCTTAATTCTTTTGTGAACTATACCTTTAAGTCAGTGCCTGTGTGTGAGTTTTTTCCCCTGGGCTCTAGAGAGTGAAAGATTAAAAAAACAGATAAAGAGAGACTTCTCTACTTGTTATTACCCCGCTCTTCACCCGCTTTCATCCCCCCTCGTCTCTCTGTATCTCTTCCCACAGTCGTGTGTGAGTGGTTGGTCTGCCATCGTGGTGGAAGGTAGCCAGTGTGCATTCAGAGCCTTCACCACCACAGTATAATTACTCCTGCTAATCAGAGCACTTTACAGGAGCTCTTCTGTTCATCCTCACCCCCCTGGTATTCACGCCCTAACACTCTGCCTCTCTGTCTGCTGCTCCGCTCTCCCTATTAACCCTCCCCAGTCAAATACAGAGCCCTCATAATTTGTAGTGTGTGTGTGTGTAGAGAGAGAGAGAGAGAGAGAGAGAGAGTTCATGTGTGTGCGTGTGTGTGATGAATGTGTGCAGGTCAGGCGACAAAACGCTAAAGAAGATTGAGATAGAGGCTGAGTTGAGACAGAGGGAGAGTGTTTGGTGTCTGATAAAGGGGTCATTGTGCCTGTGATGAGCCTGACAGTTGCTCATCTCCCCCTGAACTGGCAGCAGCAAGACATCAACCTCCGCACAGGACCCTTGGGTTAATTCCACCATAAAGACCTCAATGGCTCATAAAATGAAATTTTTTTTTTTCTTTTGCCCCTCTTGTCCCCACTCCACTAATAAACACATCACCCTGACTCACAAGGCGCTGTCCTCGTAAAACCCTGGGTTAGTTTTAGTTTTGATTCACGAGCCTTGTTAAGCCACCAAAACCAAAATCAAATTGTTCAAGCTCCAACTCTTGTCTTCAAACTCCCATTCTACCCCAGCTGAGGTATGCAGCCTTTTGTCTGAAGTCCGTTGTGTTTTCCTCATCGGAAGGCGAGTTTGAAAACAGATGTAGAAACCTCTGTTTTAGCTTTAGGTCGCTGTGCAGCGGACATGACCACAAACGGTGGAATGTTGCTGTGAGTGATTGTGGAAGTGAAAGAAAGGTCGGATATTGACAAATCAAACAGGTTTCCTGACACCTTTCTGTCCAGCGTATTAGCAAGACTTATTTATTTTGAAAAAAAAAAATAGAATTTATATTCCAAATTACTTGGGGTAAACTCTATCTAGAGCAGGGTTGGCCAGTCAGTAGATCATGAGGGAGCAAAGGGAGTAATGGTAGATCATTAGCAATTCAAATAAAAAAAATAAATAAAAAGTATGTATAGTATGTAGTAGTATCTAACGTAGGTAGATCACTTTCAACGTAGCAGCTCCCATGTTTACATTGTCAACCCTGATCTTGAGAGAGACCAAACAGCAGACCAGGAACAACCTACTGTTAGCTTCTTATATGAGTTATATGACTTATATATGTTCATACAGACAACGCACAATTGCTTGGATATGTCCACTGCTTAGGATGACACTGCTAGTATATACAACAGGTCCACATAGGTGACTGCTGTACAATGTCTGCATGCTAGGACAATTGTTGCACCAAGAAGAGGCATGAGCAGCAGAAATAGCCCAGCATCGTTAGCCTCTAAGAAGAAGGGGGGATACAATGAAGCCATTTTTAAACCTAACACTGTTGTTCCAGGTCACTGAGTTCTGTCAAAAGATAAACAAATGAGCACCACCGGTCCACCTCAGGGTGGGTGGTTCTCGTTGTCCTAGATGTTTGAAAACGCGGCCAACCTCCTACAAAGTTTACTTTTGAGGCGAGGAAGGTTAACAGTAAACACGACATGTCACTGACTTCACTCTCGTGTGTGTTTGTCAGTTAAAATGAGAAGTTTAAAGAAACTGTACAGATTCGTCCACATGCATCCCCGTTTTCAGATTCCTCCTCTTAAGGCAGAGTGCACGCCTCCACCCACCTTCACCATGTTCTGTTGCCAATTTATTCCATTTGCAAGCTCATGTTGCATTGCTAACATTGTTAGGCAACCTTGCATTAGCTCGGTGATGTATGTCAGACCTGTGGAAACCCGACTGCAAGTCAGGAAAGGTCAAGAAATGCATGTAATACACACACCCGTGTTCCAGTCCTTTAAATGTTACCTCCTTTTTAGACAGCTCCAAATCAATAGCATTGCTTGAAATAGGCCTCTGTATCATTTCGGTGTTTCTAAATACGGCACACACATGTGCTGTGTTTTTCTGTCCGTCCAAGATATTTTATTTCATTTCAGTAAACCAATCTTCTTCGCGGGGCGGCTGGAATGTCCCGTCATCAACACAGACGGACAGACGTACGCAGGCTCTTAATGAGCTGCAGAACTCTCTTTTTTTCAATACGTCCACATAAGTTGCCCTTCAAGGTCCCTTTGGACTATTAAAGGGAGTAGCGGAGTGTGAATTATGCAACAAATCAATGTGGAGAAACCTGACTATCTGCCATGTCAGTGAAAAGAGAATGTCTGAGTGGACACCCTTTAGCAGTGGTGGTCCTGTACAATGTTATTTTTTGGCCACATTTGTGCACAAACCAATTTATTTATCACTTTTTAATAAAATCTCCACATAACTCGCAGGCAATTTCTGCAATAGAGGGCGTTGGTCGACATGCAGTTTAACTCAATCAAAGTTGAAGAATCAACTGGCTCCTGGACTGATTTATGCAGGTCTGCAAAGTTTACAATGTGACCTTAAAAGAGGTGACAGAACTCTGTGCCACATGTCTTTGTAATTGCAATGCTCTCATCGTTATAATAATCCCCCAGAACACACTGCCAACATTTTTATAGGGACCATTTTTTCTGTGTGAAGTCATTCCAAACGAAACTGGTGACAGTACGGTCCGTGGATTATTCACGGCAACTGGAAACGCTATTACGATGGTATTTCTCGCAATTTTTCTTTTTTTCAACTTTATTGCTATTTAATGACCGTGAGCGCAGAAAGCCTTCATGGCTCGGACAAAATGACAAAAACGAGTTTGTTTCGTAATGCATGTAGAGATAAGTGAGAAAATAACTTGATAGCGGAGCCAACATGTTCACTCTCAGAATGGATTCACAGAACCAGTCCTACATACAGTATATACCAGGAAGACTGACTGTGCACGAGTTACGTTTTGAAAGTCTAGTGCAGCCAGTAAATACCTCATGCTGCTCTGGCCTGTCCAAAGTGGGCCAGTGGGGCCGATCACGGCCATTGAACAGCGACATGTACTGGCCCACCAGGACAGTCAAACAGAACTCAGCAATCACACAAGCTGAGGTTCTAAAGTCACGCAGCAGACCTCCCTCCACCCTGAGGGCTGGGATACACACATTAGTAGGTTTTTTATTGTTGTGAGGACTACATATACCCAAAATGTCCGTCTGTGATCTAACTTTAATGACCTTGAAACCTCAAGGTTGAGTTGATAACATTTAATCACATTACCAAGGGTCCCACAGTAAATAATTCCAACTTAACCAAATCAAATCAACTCAACCTAAATATAGGCCTTAGTAGGAAGTTGGACCCTTGGTCTCAACTGATTCACTGTTCTAATCAGTAGTTAGGTGTATAATCCTACTTCGTCACTTTATTTAGATAAACAATATAGAGCATCAGACAATCACAACAACCTTTGACCTTATTGGGATTGAGCGTTCCAGTCTCTGGCCTTGAAGGAAGCCTCAGGGCTCTGTTGCGTGGGGTTAATCTTGTGAGCACCAGCACAAAGCTAATGAGGAGCAGCCTGTGGTTCTGCTGGGAGTCACAGACTTAGCTCTGAAGCGGGCTGCACATTCCCCGTCCCCACTAGGACCCTGAGCTAAGATGGGGTTCGGTTCTGGCCGGACAGGTTTTGTCCTCATTTGCTGTCCCCAGCCCAGTGAGAGGGACAGTTCTAAAGAATCACTGCAAGCTCCAATAACAGAACAACAGGATGGGAGGAGTCACATCCATCAGTGTTAGCATGTTGCTGTGCAATGAGGACAAATTATGAAAATGACTCGTCTTCCCAGACTTAGTGATGACAGAAACCAGAGCCGTCCTGTACCACAGCTTCTCTGGCCTCAGCATACAGTCGACTGCAGTCAGAGCGCTGACCTCCTGATGGTCTCACACTTTGTTCAACGTGATCCTCCATGACTTTAATGTCCTACAAATACATTGGATATGGTAAGGAGAGGAGCAGGCGTGCGCCGTGTGGGGTAGGTTTATGGGTAAGGACAGATATTTGCCCCCTGACAGAGGAGCATACTTCTCTTTTTGTGCAGAGATACACAGCCAGAGCCCATCTGTCTATCAGAAACAGCTGCTGTGTGTGAGCAGTATCAGACATCTGGCCAGGGATCTGGTGACTACACCCTGCAACGAGCCCACAGAAGATACTGTAGAATTCTTTCAGCGTAGTGTTGTTACTCTGTCAGTGCACGTCAACAACTTCTTGAAGGTTTGGAGTACAGTACTAAAATAAATCCTACAGTGGAGGATTTTAGGTATATAGGTTATAGTTGTTTTCTTGTTTTGGTCAAAACGGAATATAATTCAATTTAATTTCTACATATCCCTCAAACTAACTAAGTTTTCTAAGCTAAAGGCTATATAGAATTGCTATATAGCAAATTTTTCATACTCTAATCTGGTTTAATTTTCATACTCTTCACAAGCAAAAACTGCATTCTTTCTGTGAACACTGTAGTACTGATTGTTTCAAGTTTCAAATATTCTCTGCAAGTTTTAATACTAAAAACAGGAAACACCCTATGGGACAGAGTTGTCTAATTTATAGACAACTACCATTTTACCACATTTTGATTTTTTTTTTTTTTAGAAATTCAATATTTGTGACAAAAAAGTTTCAGAGGTTTATTTAACTTTTAAAAGTTGACTCAGATGATCCAACTGTCCATCCTTTGCTACTGGCTACAATTAAGAAAATGCAAACACAGGGCAGTGTCTGATGATAGTGTTGGATTTTTTTAGAAAATCCAACATTCCAATGCTACCTTTAATCATTTTCTTCCATCATCTTTCCCACAGATCCTAACCTACCAACAGAAATATACCCCACGTCTGAGATTGACCCGTCTCTACCCTCGTTCACCTACGATCTCCCTCCCGATGGCTCCGACAGCCCGGTACCAGGAGGAGAGACCACAACATCAAGTGCCGGCTCCCCTCATTTCCTCGGCCACGGCTTCAACGAAAACCTCATCCCGATCTACTGCTCCATCCTGGCTGCCATGGTGGTGGGCGTTGTGGCTTACATTGTTTTTAAGAGGTAAGAAGTCGGGCTGAGCAGATAAGATGAGCCTCTCTGTAGCTAAATATAAACATCTCATATGTCGCAGAAAACAACAAACGAAACGATAGGACGGCAATAAAACGACAAATGTCTTATAGGGAGTTTCTCAGATCGTTCTCCCAGAACTAAGAAAATACTTAAAAAGGTCACAGCACCTAACAGCAACACAGATGTCACATAAACAATGACACGCAACAACACATGCGAACACTCAGTACAGTTACAAGTCTGGGCAGATACGCATCTGAGCAAAGTAAACAAGCTCATTAACTGTGCTGATTGTTTGAAAGTGCCGACGAGGGGAAATGTGAGTGAAAGATTTATCAGCAGCTTCACAAACATGTGGCTAATACTCCTCCTGCACTTATGTCATCAGTAAACACACATTATCTGGGCTGATGTTTATGTTGACATTTTCACCAAGCCGGTATTTTACGAGTAAACACTCAGAGGTGCTAACTGTACTGCACGACTCAAAACCTCATGAATATTTTAATCAATGAATTATGACTCATTTATCATGTGGAGACACAAACATGAGAGAGTCGTTGGGGAGGGGAGCTGAGGGAGGAGGGGTGGGGGGGCGCTATCATGAAGTATCTTCTGTGGAAGCAGATTTACTATTTTGAATGGAGACATGTGGCAGATGCTGAAATGCAGCGCACGTCCGTGGAGTGCAGACTTCAGACTTAAGAATTAGGTCAGAGTAGTGTTTGTTTACTCTGCAGCAAACACGGAACCCTCGTCATCCAATCGAATCACTTGGCGAGTGACAGGATACAGTGAGAAATGGTGGCTACACTTTCCACAGTGGCACTGAGCAAAACAGCTGCTCCACCGATGTCAGCCACAGGAGTGTGACCCTGCTGTACATGTGCAGCCCCCTGATGTGGCTTCACTGCATTTTTGGCATGTTCTACAGAACACATGAACTGCCTCGTAAATCTGCGGCACCTTCTCGGTACATCCTGATTTTCCATTTCAAAGTAACAGTAACCCAATTGTCTTTAAGTTAAATGAGATTAGATTGAACGTCATTGATCCCACGCTGGGGAAATTGTTATTCATAATCATAATCAACTCCTGAAATAAGTCGTTTGTAAAACAATTAAAGCACTGGTTTCCTCACAGTAAATAGCTCATCAGTTTGGCTGCAGCATCAGAAGCTGGGCGTATTACTGCAACTATTACCAATATTACTCAAATACTGCTTCTTCTACATAGTCCAACGGTTTTCACCACTGCCTTACACGCAGGAGGTCTGGGTACGAGCCACAGAGGAACCACATATTTGAATTTCCTCACTGTGGGACAAATAAGGGATTTTTTTTTTATTTTATAATGACTGATGTGCTACACTAGGCAAAAGTGTGTAAGTGACGATTGTCAAGTCCTTTGTCCTTTAAAAACAGTTTCTTGTGCGATGATTTTTAAAAGCAGTGGTTCCCAAAGTAGGGGTTGGACCCGCCTAGGGGACACAGAGTTATTGCAGGCAGTGCCTTAGCCATCCAAATTCATGTCACTTACAATATTTTCTTTTTTTTTAATGCCATGTTGGGGAAAATGCACTGATTGTATTTGGCAACTCTCCCAGGAATAGTTGTAGGAGTTCCAAACAAAATAAACATTTTTACACTACAGTACTAGTGACATCATCGTAGATTTTTTTTGATATGTCAAAACAAGGAGCTTGTGACGCATTTGGAAACAACTTTCACCTGCTGTAGGCCTTCGTTGTTAACACAGATCAATCTGACATTTCTACGACTGTGGTTGTCATCTGCTAATGATATTCTGGGAAAAGCTGGGCACAAAAAAAAACCAAAAACCCGAGGTGCTAAACTTACGTGAAATTACGCGAAGTCACGTGAAATCAAACCATATTTCAACACAAATCTGAAAGATTTTGCCTTTTAAAAAAAATGCTGTTTCTCCACAGGTGGAATAGCTGTAAGCAGAACAAACAGGCAGCTAACAGCTGTGCGGCTACAAGCAACCAGATGGTGACGCCGGAGGGAGAGAAGCTGCACAGCGACAGTGGGATCTCAGTGGACAGTCAGAGTCTGCAGGAGCAGCAGCAGCAGCAGCAGCAGGCCCAGGCTGAAGTGCAGTCTCAGCCGTCACATTCACACATTCAGGAACAGATTGGTGAGTGCAACAATAAGAAACGTTATTGTAAAGTTGAAACAACAAAACAGCAGAGTGAGTGAAAGCGCGGTGGCCTGAACCTCCTCACTGATGGATGGACTATTCATTAAATCAAAGGCCTTGAGTTCAGCCTGAGCACAATCTTTCAACATTTCATCATCATATTCCTATTCCCCCCCCCAAAAAAAAAAAAAAACTCATCACGTAAATCATTTACCACCAACATTTCCCTTCAAGCACTAACACAGGTTTGGGGATTGAAATAGATATTAACAATAAATCATCTCACAACAGCCGGAAGCAAGTAGGTGGGCCGCAGCTACCATGCACTGTGGCAGTTTCACCATGGAATACTTAATGTTTAAACATGAGGATGTCACTCTGGGCTGAAGCAGTAAACTCTTAGATAGACGTCTGACACAGTTACTAAGTAATGTATTACATACAAAGGTCAAGGACACTCTACTGCATTTGGTTGTCTTTGTCAGGGTGGTCCCCATCCCATTTTTAGTGTTAGGATTTTTATTGGTGTACTCAGTGATACTGTGCAGAGAGGCCCATAGTGCTTTAGGTTCCAATAAATATGCATTGGACTGGAATGCAACGTTACTGTATGTAGGTGGTGCAGCTGTGGGAGGAATAGTGAAGACACCAAGCAGGAAAATACTGACAGCCGGTTTTATTTTCTGATCCCTCATGAACAGAAAATGAGCAGCAACTCCCTACAGGGTCTCAAACCTAAATGAGCTGAGGGGCCACAGCTGTAACCTTCATTTCATGGGAGGGCCACACTGTTTTTCAGAATCTTCAACAAAACTTTGGATAATGCAGTGTAAAATGCTACGGAATGGCTTTGTTTCTCATTCTTAAATGACCAAATTAAACATTCTAATATTAATAATTTTCTGTTCGGCTGTATAGGGGAGGTTGGGGGGGAATTACCCATGAGGTCTGGTGTATAGCTGGATGTACTGAAACAATGCAGTAACTGAACTGGGGATTTCCATACACATAGTTTAATTTGTTCAGTCTGGGGACTGTGTTGACCTTTCAAATTAGATTTATTCAAACTTTTTGAACCTCAACAGCCACACTGCAGGCAAAAAAAAAAAATTTAAACAGATGACATTAACATTTACAGGAGACAAGACGTGCATAAACAAACAAGGAGGGTAAAATGAAATCATATTGTATTTGGTTATTGCTCCGGCCAGAAATTTTCTGGTCAAATATACACAGAGGTTTGTGACTGCAGGGGATTTTGAATTAAAACCAAATTCTTTAATAGAAGTGAATATTCACCTTTGTCAGAGTAAAGTCTGGCTGAACGAGCAACACAGTTGAATTCCTAGCAGAATTGAAGGACATAATGAGAAAAATTAGTTTTTCTGCTTGTAATTTTAAAGATATGATTCAGCCACCATCCAGCTGTATGAACAGGAAGCTCACTGCTGTGGATCTATATTTTGGTGTAGTATAATTTCACTGGCTGAAACCCCAGTGCATTAAAGGTTGGTGCACGGTGGGGAAGCTGCTCCAAGCAGCTACAGTACAAGGGAAGGATGACCTTTAAAAGGCCAACCGCAGAAGAAAAGCGATCGGTGCTGCAGTGAGATGTGACCTCTGTTCAACACGGAGCAGCTCTCCTTCCTCAAACACCGTTCACAGCACATCAAAAGGATGAAAGCAGTATTTTTTGCTCACAAACCTGAGGGGTTCAGTGAACATCTTGTTATTCTTTCATGATTATCTCCCGCACTGCGTTTTCCGCTTTTTTTTCTTCACTAGCTTCTTGTGTATACAAGGATTACAACGTGCTAACAAGCTAAACCGCCGACAAATCCTTCCTCAAACGGTGCCTTGTCCACGATGCCTATTACATTAATGAGGCTGGGGGAAAAGCTTATTTTGCTTCACTTTTCTTCTCTCCCACTTTCCCTCTTTTCCTTTCTCTCACTTGACAAAAAGCTCAAACCACTAAATGCTGAGGAATAAAGGGAAGTGTTTTTTTTTTGGAAGAACAGCGTGGGATTTGTTCACTGAGATAAAGACTGCTGCCTGTTGGAAGCGACCGTCTCATTAGCAGGTGTTATGAGACAGGACCCAGGCCTGGTTTCTCCAGCCCATCAAAGACTGTTCCAGCATCAGTTTTTTACCAAGCACTAATTGGGAATAGTGACGTCGGCGGCTACGGGAACCGGCAGAATGACAGGAAATGCTCACGGTGTTGTTGCTTCTTCCTCAGAGAGAAAACTGGAATAGAACCAGAAAACAATAGTGGTTTTGATTTGTAGACAAAACATACAGTACGTCATTGGCTGCTGAATATTATAAAACAATGTTGTTAAAACAAGGTGAACTGGTCATCACAGTGTATTCATACTGAATCAAACTGATGGGCAGAAACTTTGGTGTGTACTCACATCTTCAACACACAGATATATAAATATTCAAAATGAAAGTGGGATACATCAGTATTTAATGTTTGCAGCTAAAAAACAAACGCTACAAATTCAATGACTCTTATGTTTGGAATGACAATCCTATTTAGAGGAAAACAAATGATAAGACATAATTAAAAATACATGCTAGCATTTAGACTGCATTTTATCATAATTTTTTAAATCAGATTCAAGGCAGATTTTTATCAAAGAAGATCAGAACTGAGGAATGACGCCACAAGACTCAAAATAACGTCCTGGCTTTATACATCTGATCTATGTTTTTAATCAATTCCTGTCATTATAAGTTATTTCTGAAGTCAACTGAGAATTCCTGGTCTTTTCCGGGGCTTCATTTTACAGACAGTTTACGACCACATAGCTATGCCCACTTCTTATACACGGTCTGTGGGTGAAAGCCCTTCTTTTGTGTGCTAGACTCTATTATGAACAACACTCTAACTGTGCAGCAGCCACCCACCCCCACTCTCTGGCTTCCACTTTCTTCAACTTTGAATTGTGCATGTTGAATGAGTTAACGTGAACATCTTACAACCAATGACTGAATCTGAATATTTCTCCTCTCTGTTGGACCTGATCCTGCACCAAATGAAGTTTGAGTAGATGTCAATCAAATATTTAATTTTTTTTTTTTTTGCCTAACTGTAAAGTGGTAGACTTCGGTGAGATGAGTGAGCTTCAAAAGGGTATAAAATTGCAACAGACGTGAAGCTAACAAAAACCATAGACCAGAACAAAGACCAAAACCAGAAGAATGTCTTAAATCCCACAACAAAACAATGAAAAGTGTTGTTAAAAGAAAAGCCTGCAGGAGGAAGTCTTTATTGCAGAACCACAATCAACTATCATCAACATCATTTTATTATCTGGAAAGCCCACAGAGCTGCAGGAGTTCAACAATCCATTACCACTGTGTAACACTACAGAAATAACCACCTCAGACAGGTTATCAATTACAGATGCAGTTTTTGCAGACGGGACGCCTCAGAGCTGCTTAACATTCTCTCAGGAAGTTTTAGCATGTACTTCTCAGGCTGTAAGTGTACTTGAAAACGTTTAGGGAATACTTCGAATTTTACCAAGAGGAAGAACAACGACAGTGTCAACAGTAGCATGTTTGAAGAAACCAGGCTCACTCCCACAGCTCTTTACTAATCAAAACAGACAGCAGCAACACTGAGCTGAAAAGCACTCCTGCTGTTGTATCCTAATACTTCATAGTACTACAACAGGGATGTACAAAAAAGCAGTGTGAACCTGCTTTATTAATGGCAGTGTTCCGACTGTTAGCCTCTAGCTTGTGCTGTTTATTAAATCGGAGTCAGGAAGTTGAAATGTGACAAACTCTGGAGTCAAAACGTTCCAAGACAAACAAACAAATAAAAAAAAACTAGCTTTTGTAAGACGTGAGATTACGGAGGAGACGCTAATTAACTATCAATCCATTTCTCAGTAACTCGCCACTCACCACCGTTGACCCCGTGACCCCCCTTTCGCCACCTTTTGAGAACCGTGGAGTTGTGTGACGTCTCGGCATAACCTGCAGCTGTTTCGAGATGCACCTGCTCAGATGGGCAGGAGACGACATGACCACGTCGCCCCCTCCCCCACCCCCCTCCCCACCGACTGGCTTCCTGTCAGCTTCAGGATGCAGTTAAAGACTTCACAACCTTGTTTTTACAACTTTAAATGGTAACACGTTATCTTATCTGCCTGGGCTGTTCCGTTCAGTCAGTGCACAGAGGTCAACAACTCAGATGCTTCTGGAAACCCAATGCTTCGGACTCAAAACTGAGAGAGAGACGGATCTTTTTCAGCGGCTGCTCCAAACGTGTTGGCTGCCTGCCCACCTCACGGCTCAGCAGGAGTTGTTATTCTGAGTTCAGTTCTATATTTATGCATTAACTCTAACTCTTAATAACTGCAGCTCAATCTTAATTGTAACAGCCTCGTGGTCTAAATCAAAAACACGCCTTCAACATCATTTGACAAACTTTCACCTCGACATTTAAGCGGAACATATATTTCACCTATTAAAATAACAGTAGTGTGACAACTTGAAGCCGTCCCACTTCCTAGATCAGTTCCAGCAAATTGTTCCCATGATTTGGGACAAAAATCTGGACTGCCTCAGAACAGAGAGCAGACGAAGACATTGGCCGCATCTGCTGCATCTGGGAGTTCACGTTTCACTGTAGGCTCGATTGAACTGGTTTGGGGCGAAAAGACAGCTTGTATTGATTCCCCCCCGAATGAGGTCGGTCTCTATGAAACAGCCGAGAGCCATGTGGCTATTATTATCACTTCTGCCTCTAAAATATGGTGCAATGCTGAGTCAGAACCAGTGGAGGTAGAAGTACAGGTGCACGCCGCCGCGTGTCTTTCCAGATGTCTGTGTTCTGTCCAGCGTCAATGTCACTCTGCTGTTTGTCTCTGTCAGAGAGTGCACAGTGTTAGTGTTTAAACCGGAAGAGCAGCGGAGAGCTGCAGACCGCGGCCCTTCACTTTCATTCTCCGAACATTTGTGAAGAGATACAAATGAGAAGAGAAGCTGAGGAAACGGAAATGTCAATGAATCATTTAATATAATACGTGGGAATTTGCAGGGTTTTCAAAGAGGGAAGTGGAATTGAGTATTCTGGTAAAGAACCTCCCTCATAGACGCTGTAAAATAAATGCTATTGAACCTTTTCTTCCACAAGGATGCATTGATGAAGATGAGAAAACACCCAATAGTCCTCTTAGCGCCTCTGCATTCCTCAGTTGTTTCCATGGCTTCCCTTCAATTGACAGCAGGTTAAGAGGTTTGTGGGAAAGACGAGCATTTGTCTCCCATCTCTATCTGGCTAATCATTACAGTTTAACAGGTTCGCATGGGTGACTAACACTACAGGGCCCCCTGCAGGGGAAATTGTGATCCCTAACATAGTTATTATTTCAGTAGGTATTTTGCTAAAGCTTAAAATTTTTACAAAATACAGTTCATGTTTCTAAAAGTAATAACCCCAGGCAGCTTAATCAAAAATGCAAAAAGCAAAGGAAACAAATTATTGAGTGAACGAGGGAGTTAAGAAACACCATGCAAAAATACTACCAGTCACTTGTTTGTGTGTCCGCAGTACAAAATATGACATATTTCTTTTGTACTTTCTCCCTGCAGTGGTGAGGGTGGATGGCGGTCCCCAGCCTGACTCACCTCCCCCAGAGGTCTGAGGAGAAACGGAAAGGAAAGGAGAAGGCATCCGACCCTGAGGCAGGGAGAGGAGAGGAACCAAGAGGAAAGCAGGGACCTGAGTTGTCGACCAAACACAAGGGGGAAAAAAATTGGCCACAAAGAGAATGTAAAAACGGACTCCAATTGACATTTCGAAGCGGCCACAGAACAAAAACAGGACTTGCATGGACCTCCCAACATCTATGGGCTACAGTCTGACTCTTCATCCTTGTATACAAACCCTGTCTATCAGTGTGCCTGGACAAATCCTATACAGCAATATCACTATCCATACCACTGCTCCTGCAGATTCATTACCATATGTAATTACATCGCCTACTAACTGACTACTCCAGTATCATGGTGTCACATGACTGAATTCTCTCTCTAACTGCCAGCTTGTCCTCCACAGGTTTACATTTCTCTTTAATTCCACATTTATCTGTTACGAAATAGATGTGCCTAAATGGTGAAGGAGGAGAAAAGGTATCCCATAATCCTCATCCTTATTTTTTCCCCCCTCATCACATTACTCCCTGTGGCATCACACGCTCAGATAATATTCCTGACTCTGGATTTTCTCCACTCCACTCATCTGCTGACGTACAAACCGCAGCAGCGTTACGTGATTTCTTATTTTCGTAACAACAGATGATTCACAACACTTTGTTTCATAACATACCGTTTTAGCATTTACTTTCTTAGACGGACCTCTATGACTAAACGAGTGACTCATATTTGGGAAAGAAAGGTTAATTACATTGTCACCCACCCCCCCCCCCCCCCACACACTCACACTACCTCACCCTCGCCGTCTTTCCATTGCCCCCCCCCCCCCCCCCCCAGCATGATGCTAGTTCCTGCATTGCGCCGTCTTTGTCCCCTCTGTGACACAGCTGCTGCTCGGGTTATGTTTCAGTAATTTCATGCCTGTAATGATGCCCACCCAAATATTTGTCTACTGTCTGCCGGTGCACTTTTTTTTCATTTCTGTGGCTCCAGTTACGTAGCTGACTCAGCAGGGTGCTTTCACTGTCCTAGATGTGCAACATGAGAGAAACATCTCTGGACTGTGGAGCCCTGCTGACTCTCTGCCGTTAGGGGTATTAATGGTGTCTGATGATGTCATTGATGACCCAGCAGGTTATGCTGCTAGTTGTTTTAAAGACAAAACAAGACAAAAAAAAAAAGACAACCAGAGGCGGGCACTCTTTACTGGAACCAAACACCTGCAGCTTTTCGTTGGCCTCGCTCACAGCTCAGCTTGCATTATAGAGCCTCATAAACAGGGCTAAGGTGCTAATGGATCGTCACGTCGTCATATCAACACAGCACCCATTAGAGCCACTTCCTCACAGGCAGGTAGCAATTACCTCAGGGTTTTAGCTTCATTTAGCCTACGCTCAGTCGCCTCTTATTTGGATCATTGCAGTGGACTACAGAGGTGTGATGTGGCTTCTTTCACAGCCTGAACATGACATGACACATTCCCTTTTCTACGCTGAACACATTGACATTTGCTATATTGCCATGGCAATACAAACACCCCTAGTCCAACACTCACTTCTAAGGCTTTTATCATACTGGACCACTTTGATGTTACTCCTACCTGCTGCATGCAGTAACTGTGAGGTCAGATGTATTGTAAATGGCGTTTACTGTAGCTAGGCTCGCTTTAGTGTTCATTCCTAAAGGGGCACAAACCTCCTCAGGGTCCCTCTTGTGGTTTGACTTAAATATGTGATTTCATACCCATAGTGGATTCGTGTGAGGAATCCGAAGACAATTCTGTAGTGGTACGACGGTCTGAAGTGTAGGAAGATAGACATAGGTAAACATACATACAGCTGTAATAGCTGAAATATATGGACTGACATTTAGGTACATTTCATGTAGAAACTAATGGTTTAATTGTGGTGGAAAACAGGACTTTCTCTTTTTTATCATAAAACATTTTTGACATGGTAGATGCTAAAAATGTTTGTATTAGCATCTTTCTAGTCCTGACGGCCAATCAAAGAGCTTACACAGTTGATCTAACAGACCTTCACCGAGAAAATGAGTGCTGTACAAACATTTTCTTAATTACTCACAGATTTGTTCACACCTCAAATATAGTGATGGTCTTGTCCACGTCCTAAAGCTGAACTAGCTTAGCTTACTTTTCACTTAAAAGCTATTTACTAACAGCAAAACAACTTTGCCCTATGCTATTCTGACATGATGTTCCCTTACCTTAGATTTAGGGGTTTTATTTTTTAAGGAAAAAAGTGACAGAAAATGTTGGTTTTTTTGTTTTTGTTTTTGTTTTATGTGATACATTGTACGTTTACACCAAAACCAAAGTGAAATACATAACACTTAACACGGCGTTATGTTCCATATCAGCATTTCGTCCAAAGGAAAGGAAATGTTTGATGCGTTGTGTTGCCGGCAGATTGCGTAGGTGTGTACATGTGACAACACCCACGAACACACCCACACACTTGTCCACACACAATCAACTACAGTGGATGATTCACTTCTCGACAGTCAGTGTGATTCATCCTGATGCTAGAAGTGACATTAAAGCATAGGCTGCTTCAGTCAAAACAGAGCAGAAAACGTACTCCAAACCACGTTCTATCCCCCGAGCCTGGATGGCCCTCCAGCAGCACAGTCATCCATGATGAACCAACTTCATTCTTTCACAAGCTACTGGTAAAGTTACACACACTATGGGAGAATGTACGACCAGAAATACATACAGAGAAAAAATATGCAATACACAGTTAAGGCTTTGGTTTTCTTACATTTTTGCTGCCATCTTTTTTGTGTCTTTTTTTTTTTTTACATTGTCCTCGTTGTGCATATTGTATTAGTATTACATGTTGGAATCAGTATTAAACAGGTTCCAAATAAAATTTAGTTCTGTAGCACTTATTAGACATAATAAGAATGCACTCAAAGAGTGCCCCACAGTTCAAGTGCCTGTGTACAGTGTTGGCTCTTTAAGGTTAAAAGTGTGATGATATTTCTCTGTCATGTTTCCATTATTTTATCTTTGTTTGTTTTGGAGTGTTGTCTTTTATTATTTGTGGGTCAATGAAGGTTTTTAGTAAATGCAAGAAGTTGATCATCTTTGGAGACGCAAACAAACTGTATAAACCACACACACTAACACGAGACATTAACGGTATCAACTCGGTTGCCGGTCAAAGTATACTGTCTGCTAGCATGCTATAAATTGCTAGTGGCAACTAAAAAGGTCATTATAGGTTATGAAAACATATATGTCACCTTAGACTTCTAACTCCTAAAAGTGGTAAGCTGTTAGTCTATAGAAGTAAGATCTACTGTGCAGTGGAGAACACTAGGTTCCATCACGTTCCTTCGTTACAGAGGTGGCAGATCATAAATGTGGGCAGGACCTTTACTGAGGCGTTCTCTGTGATCCTCTGTGGTATTAATAAAGGGGATCGGATCCTGCTCTGTAAAACTGAATGTCACCTGTACTTATTTACTAATGTAAAAATGCATTGTGTAAATGTGAATTTCTTAGAGTTGATACCAGAGACAGAAATACGCTATAAAATGTACAAAAACAACAGTGTGCAAAATAAATTAACATTATAATACAATAAACTGAGATGTCACTGCATCGTGGTGCCGTTATTTATTCAGAGAGGAACTCATATTTTCTTGATTAATGTTTATAATAAAGATTGTTTTCTCTGTTTTGTATTTATAAATACATTTATGAGAATTCCCAAAAATAAATCATGAAGAAAGCAGACATTTCTGCAGATTTGAGTCTGAACCTAATCACATAAATAATTAATATATATATATATAAATAAAATACTAGAAATACTCAACATCATTTATTTTAAGATTAACTGGTGAGAAAATAAATGGACTTGTTAGAGGTGGGTAAAATGATCTGAAGTTATTATCTTTAAAATTAACTGAAATTTAACTACAAATTGTAAAAGGAGTGCATTAGAATCTGCATGGATGATTTTTTTTTTAATAAAACACCTTTCTGCTTGATAATCATTCAAACACAAATCTTTTGTTTTATTTGTTTTTCCTAATGTCCTGATACCAAATGACCCTGACCCTGACCTTGGTGGCTGGTGACCATTAACTCAAAGCACTGACTACATTTACAGATTACCATCAGTTCATGGAAGCAGAAATAATTATACATCTTAGAGATCGTATTCAACGCATGATGTAAAATCCAAAGAATCCTTTACAAAGTTGCTTCAAACACACAAATTTAAACTTTAAAACTAAAAATATCCCAGAGCATCTGTAAGAGTGACCGCAGATGACGATAAGGTGCTGAAAAGTACGTAGTGGCAGACCACAGTAGAAAGCAGGACCATATGTGACGGACTCTTAAGTGCAGCAGGTTCTTGTGGTCTTATCATCACTTCAGCATCACTCTGGGGTCCAGCGGGTGTTCAGCAGATGACCAGTTACTGATATATCCTTCACAGACACAGACGTGACATGAAGGCAGGACATGAGAGGAGAAAAGTCCCCGAAGAAGGAAGTATGGTTTTGGTTGCAGACACCAGTCTTTCAGCAGCACTGCTGCCATTCTGACGTGACCGACTCTGTGGGCCAGTGTGTGACTGTTGCCCAGACTTGAGATGTGAGTGACAGATACACTTCAGAATTGCAATTTCATCGGCAGAGAGTACTTATGTGGACGCACCAATTAAACTGCATTTTTCCAACTGTCAAAATGATTCAAAACAACGAGTCAACTCAGAAGACAGAAAATGGTTTTATAGATAAACAGAGACAGAAACAACTGGTTGTAGGGAAGTGAATGACATTAAAGTGTTGTAGCAGAATCCAAATGACTACTTTAACAACTCATTAATTAGATTGCCCACACACACAAACACACTTCCTTTTGCCTCTATCACTACCTGATGGAATAAAATACACTTGATGGATCAATAACTGTGGGAATAAATAGACGTTTTATTCAAATATACTGGGGTGTCAGTTGGATTCAAGGCAGACCAACGGGAAAAGACATGAAGTCCATGTGTTTATGTTTTATTTAAGGTGTGGCCTGACGACGTAATGAAGTGACATTGATGAGAGAGAGTGAATTCAATCAGGTCTCACTAAGGGTGAACCCCGCCCTGACTCAGTGACCTATGCATTTGGCTCCAGCCATGATCCTGCAAACTAAGCGATAGACGATGAGTTTAGATAAATATATAAAAAAATGTTGATGTGGGTTAAGGGATTAAATTATATCATAGTTCACTAAAAATTCCACTGTCTCTTCCAAGAATAATGAAATACTTCAGTATTTTTATAACAGAGGCTGTACGTATCATAAATCATGGTTATCATGGTGGAAATGAAGTCCAAATATCTCACCCAACCCTAAGATCATACAGCTCTGTGTTTATCACTCAAAGCTTCATTAGCCGTCCACCCAACTCTGCAGCGGAGAAGGGAATATCACTAATATGTATATATTGAGGAGCTGCACCGGTGCAGAAGAGAGTTGTTTCCTTTAAGTAATTCCTCTGGTTGATCACGGGTCACAAAGGTCACAGTGAACTGGCCCAAAACAAATCTTTTCTTTACCAAAAGTGAAAACAGCCGTACAGATGCGTTACTGATTTATATCGTAGTGTAAAAGCTAACGTGGAGTGTGTGTGTGTGTGTGTGGCACTGTTTGATACGTAGCGGATCATTACTGTTGACAGAGACGGAACACTTTTCTTTCTGCAGCTGATGTGCTTTAGAAGTCG